TTGAGTTATACTTAATTATTAACGGCCACCGTGCGTCACAGAAGTAAATAGTCGTCATTCCCCATAAAACACTTGCGTGATCGGCAGCCATTTTGCGGATCAGCGTAAAAAACAGAGACTTAGAGACGACTGATAGCTAGTATTTTCAAAGGGAAACGTTTAATACGATATCTGAAAATGTATGGTGTTATATGGGAAGAAAATGAGTAACTAACGACACTGAGGTTCGAGCTTGACACTCTGGACTTATGAATATATGTTTTCCGCCAAGTGTATAAATAGCGGTGTCAGGCTACTGATTGCAGTGATTATTGAGTGGAACTATCCAGTCGAATTAGTGTGAATTATTATGATTTGGGTTTTGATTTAGAATTTACTGGAGGTTAAGCCGAGCCGCGCAACTAACAAGGCATTCACTGAAATGATTAATTATCTTGGGTTGACTTTTACTTCTTTCTTCTTGCTCAGTATATATTTGCGGTTGTAATTAAATACTGTTTTATTTTAACATTGAGTGATGCTTAATGAGTAATGGCCGCCGTACGTCAAAAAATTGGCAACTCGTCTACAGCAGAAAATAACAACCTACTACGGAAAAATCTTTATGAATCGAAAGAGACAATATCGCCTAAGCGTGTTTCACGTACGTTACTTAACTGACTGAGGTGGCAAGAAATCTGGTTTTCCACAGGCAAGAAGTATAAGAAAATCTATCTATCTATCTATCTATCTATCTATCTATCTATCTATCTATGTTCAGCGGTAAAACGGCGAGCTCTTGTGGCAAATCTACAGGGTGCGATGGTTAAGTTATCGCCATTTTATATTTTAAATTTCGCGCATGCGCGTTGTTTTTATGCTTTCCCAACTGCATGGTAAATTAGGGTCAGTTTGGCGTCGTCTTCGAGAAAAAGACCATGATCCTGACGCAATTCACTCTGCTAGAAATTTGGAAACGGCATACTGTACTACTTGGCATTCGCACCGGAAGCTACAATATAAACCTTCCAGTGTGTATGGGTGTTAATCTGAGGACAGTGCAGAGGATTTGCAAAGAGTTGGATTAGTCTAATGATTATTACGAAGGTTTTTGGAATGATGGCGACTTTATCCTTCCATTCATCTTCCCACAGGGCCCCAAATAGGCCTACATTAAGTGCCATGAGGAGGTAGTGCTGCCCTGGGTCAAGAGCATAACTGCTGGAAGACCCTATGTCTAGCAACAGGACTCTGCACCATGCCGCACAACCAGGAGAACCCAGTCATGGCTGTCAGATAATTTCTGCGACTACATCTGGCCACCTAACTCCCCAGGCTACAACTCCCTTGATTATTATGTGTGAGGTAGAGTTGAGCAAGAGTACAACAAAACTCCTTGTAACACGAAAGATGAACTGAAGGCAAGGATTATGGCAGCATTCATCAACTTAAACAAGGAGACCGTCAAGAAGTGATGCAGGAGATTCCGAAGTCGTCTGGAGGCCGTGGTTGAAGCCAATAGCGATTTTATTGAATAAATTACCTCTTTAGTATTTCAAGATATTTTTGTCTAATTTTGATAAATATATCTGTTAAAATGAGATGTCAGTGTTATTTTCATTTTTTTTCGTCATTTTGACGATAATTTATCCATCGCACACAGTAGTTGCCCTCTCAAATTCTTGAAGCATCAAGTAAGAAAGCTCATCGGAACAGTTTTCATGGAAATATTTGTAAAAAAGACAGAGGGAAGCCATGTCAAGTCAGTGAGAAAATGACTGACGTCGTGATGCCTGGTTAAGATTAATTAAATTACAGTCTGTTCTATGACTCATATTCTCTCACACTCAGTCACCTCTAAGCGTCTTAGTGGCTCTGCTGCCTTCCTTGGGTTGAAATGATTGAAACAAATAAAATATCCAGATTATATTTATAATCTCTCTTTGAGAAAAGGGCAATTCTTATATGTTTGTTTTTTTTTTAAATCGAATTCACCCCATGCAAGGCAGTAAAGCCACTAAGACACGAAGGGGTTACTAAGTGTTAAAGAATTAGAAAACAGAAACATTATTAAGCAGCAAGAACTAGAAACGTAATCAGGAAGACAGTAGGTAGCGATTGACATTGTATTTAAATTTTTGGAGATAAAAGTTGGAAGGAAATCATGGTTCCTGGAAGGGAGTACCAAAAGTAGGAACGAAGAAACTGTTATCATAGAATTTACGGTTGCATCTCGTCATCTGAACCGTAGATTAATGAGACCACGTCGACAGTCTTTTACATTCTTAAAGTCTAGGTACCATAGCGAAGAGCATTATCTATTCTGTTTAATACACAGAAACGTGGCACAAGGCCGAAGGGAGGATTGGGGAAAGGACGGTCTTCTTCTGTCTTAACTATAACTTAGCTAGCCACAAACACTGACCCAATTGTACAAACAATATTCCTTACACCAAAACAACACATTCTTATCTACCTTTCTTATTACAATCACCATAATACCTCTTTGTCTCTATGAAAATACTAACTAGTCCCTATATTTACAATTCATTGTCTGTGGGGGCGGGGAATAAAACAACAATTCGATAAACTAGACCCAATGAGTATTTACAATATGAAAGCAAAAACTATTTACAAGAAACTAAAGAAAATAATATTATTAATACCCCCCAATCACTAAATCAGTTCACTGGCCGAAATCACTGCGGGACTATAAAAGTATAAAACATTCATTCATCCCAAGCACTCACACTGATATTGCACTCATTCAGACACAACAACAAATAGCGAAGAGCCCATCCGAACAATTACCATGAAAATATTTATAAAAAAGGCTGAGAGAAGCAACTTTACGGCGGTGGGAAAGTGATTGAAGCCGAGATGCCAGGTCAGGAACAACAATATTGCTGATTCTTCTTTAGATTTTATCAGGAATTTCTAAATATATAGCTGGCTTATTAATTGCTCTATATTTTTTTTTTTTTGGTTGGGGAGGGAAACACATTGTGCCGAAGCTGGCAATAACATCGCACCATGATTTTGAATTAGATCCTCTCAAGTTCCTCTATACGAGAGCCTTGTGTCAAACTAAGTAAGGTGGCTATGTCTAGTTATATACCCGTCTAATTAAAGTCTATAATAACTTCGTGGCGTCATTCAGTGACGAGGATTGCGTGCTTACGAAAGACAAAAGAAAAAAATGTTTCAGACATATTTATTTTTATTGAGAAAACGGACGCTGTACTTAAGTCTGCTCCATGACTACAACCAGGAAAGAATGGAGTTTTTCTGCTCGTATCGACACGTACAATGGTGTATATTTGGCCATTATCGTCTTTTATTTATATTATGTTAATTAGATTTTGAAATTCGAATAAAAATTGAATAAATGCAATGAAAAAAGAATCTCTGTTCATATGTATCTCAGTCGGTTTCTTTCTTTCTTTCTTTCTTTCTTTCTCAGTCTGTTCGTATCTATCTATCTATCTATCTATCTATCTATCTATCTATCTATCTATCTATCTATCTATCTATCTTAGTCTGTTCATATCTATCTATCTATCTATCTATCTATCTATCTATCTCAGTCTGTTCATATCTATCTATCTATCTATCTATCTATCTATCTATTTATCTTAGTCTGTTTTTCATATCTATCTATCTATCTATCTATCTATCTATCTATTTCAGTCTGTTTATATCTATCTATCTATCTATCTATCTATCTATCTATCTATCTATCTATCTATCTATCTCAGTCTTTTCATATCTATCTATCTATCTATCTATCTATCTATCTATCTATCTATCTATCTCAGTCTTTTCATATCTATCTATCTATCTATCTATCTATCTATCTCAGTCTTTTCATATCTATCTATCTATCTATCTATATCTATCTATCTATCTCAGTCTGTTCATATCTATCTATCTATCCATCATCTATCTATCTATCTATATATCTATCTATCTATCTCAGTCCTTTAATATCTATCTATCTATCTATCTATCTATCTATCTCTATCTATCTATCCCATCTTTTCATATCTATCTCAGTCTGTTCATATCTATCTATCTATCTATCTATCTATCTATCTATCTATCTATCTCAGTCTATTCATATCTATCTATCTATCTATCTATCTATCTATCTATCTATCTCAGTCTGTTCATATCTATCTATCTATCTATCTATCTATCTATCTATCTATCTCAGTCTGTTCAATCTTTTCATATCTATCTATCTATCTATCTATCTATCTATCTATCTATCTAGTCTTTTCATATCTATCTATCTATCTATCTATCTATCTATCTATCTATCTATCTAACTTAGTCTGTTCATATCTATCTATCTATCTATCTATCTATCTCAGTCTTTTCATATCTATCTATCTATCTATCTATCTATCTATCTATCTATCTATCTATCAGTCTGTTCATATCTATCTATCTATCTATCTATATATCTATATATCTATCTATCTCAGTCCTTTAATATCTATCTATCTATCTATCTATCTATCTATCTATCTATCTATCTATCTCAGTCTTTTCATATCTATCTTAGTGTGTTCATATCTATCTATCTATCTATCTATCTATCTATCTATCTATCTATCTCAGTCTTTCATATCTATCTATCTTTTTCATCTATCTATCTATCTATCTATCTATCTATCTATCTATCTATCTATCTCAGTTTGTTCATATCTATCTATCTATCATCTATCTATCTATCTATCTATCTATCTAGCTTGCTAGCTATGTATAGGTACCTCCAAATGTTTGCTAAAAATGACTATGCATGACGAAAATATGCCGAAAGCTAAGTTCTATTGTCAAAATCTATTTGGTTATTAGTAAGGGTCAAAGATTGTATTCAATAAAAAGTTCCTCCACCCCGCTTAGAATCATAAATGTACACCCCCCAAAAAATGGGGTTTGTCACGCATATAGAGGTAACTCAATTGAATCGTAAAATGGTGAAAGTATTAATGAACATTATATTAACCAGGCTGTCATCGTTTTCTGAAAACTAACTCCTCACAACCCAGCCAAGGACATGTAAGATAGATAGTTAGATAGATAGATAGATAGATAGATAGATAGACTGAGATAGATAGATAGATAGATAGATAGATAGATAGATAGACTGACAGACAGACTGAGATAGATAGATAGATAGAGAGAGAGGGTGAGAGAGAGAAAGATAGATAGATAGATAGATAGATAGACAGACAGACAGACTTAGATAGATAGATAGATAGTGTGAGAGAGAGAGAGAAGGTGAGAGAGGGAGAGATAGATAGATAGATAGATAGACAGACAGACTTAGATAGATAGATAGATAGTGTGAGAGAGAGAGAGAGGGTGAGAGATAGAGAGATAGATAGATAGATAGATTGACAGACAGACAGACTGAGATAGATAGATACATAGAGACAGAGATAGATAAATAGATAGATAGAGAGAGGGAGAGGGAGATAGAGAAAGATAGATAGATAGACAGACAAACTTAGATAGATAGATAGATAGATAGAGAGAGAGAGAGAGAGAGACAGACAGACAGACAGACAGACAGGCAGACTGAGATAGATAGGTAGCTAGCTAGCTAGATAGATAGATATAAAAACAAACCCCCACAGAGAAAAAATATCCTAATCTCAAAGAATAGTTCGAATCTGAACTTTATGCTAACTAAGCAGTCATCGTTTTCTGAAAGTCAGTTCTTCATGACACCATTATTTGGTTTCATTCTGGTAAGAGATGCAATGATAGCAAATATGCCATCGAACAACTCCAAAAAATTGCTAGCTCTCTAACAGGAAACTAGATTCCTGCTTTGTCAAGCTCAAAGCATTATATGACGCCATCAATAGAGACACCGTCTTCTCATCCATTAGAAACATCTTTCCAACCTCCAAATCCAGTGAATAGATCGATTTAATAGAGGAACGTTATCGATCTACAGAATCTTACTTGACTGTCAAGGACTTGTAAGATAGATAGATATGAACAGACACAGATAGATAGATAGATATATGGGGAGAAAAGAGAGAGAGAGAGAGAGAGAGAGAGAGAGAAACTGAGACTGAGATGGATAGATAAGTAGATAGATAGATAACTTTAATTTATAGCATGTGCATTTCATCAAATATTTGAAGATACCTAGAAATAGAAATATATATATATATATATATATATATATATATATATATATATATATATATATATATATATATATAGATAGATAGATAGATAGATAGATAGATATGAACAGACACAGATAGATAGATAGATAGATAGATAGATAGATAGATAGATAGATAGATGAATAGGATGGAGAGGAGGAGAGAAAGAGGGAGAGAGAAACAGATAGATGGGATAGTTAGATAGATAACTTTGTTTATGGCATGGCCATTTTACAAATATTTGTATGTACCTAGAAATAATATATATATATATATATATATATATATATATATATATATATATATATATATATATATGAACAGGCACAGATAGATAGATAGATAGATAGATAGATAGATAGATAGATAGATAGCGAAGGAGAGAGGGAGATAGATAGATATGAACAGACCGTGATAGATAGATATATATAAACAGACACAGATAGATACATATGAACACACGGATAGATAGATAGATAGATAGATAGATAGATAGATAGATAGATATGAACACAGAGAGATAGACAGATTGATAGAGAGGGAGTGAGAGAGAGAGTGAGAGAGAGAGAGAGAGAGAGAGAGAGAGAGAGAGGGAGAGTTAAAATTAACATGTCATTCTTTTCCCCAGTTCACAACAAATTGTAGGTTATCTTTTTTGATTAGCTATCAATTTGACAATATTGAACTGATCAGATTTACTATTAGAACCGGAGTAAATAGTCGTGTCATTAGTTTAGATACAGAGTTGAGAATTGATAACACCAGGAAGGTCCTTGATGAAAATTAGGACCAATGCAGGTCGAAGAATAGAGCCCTAGAGCCGGGTACACCGTCATTTATGCAAAAAGATCTGGAAGAGTGGCCGTTCAAGATAACATTCATTTTGCAATTTGATAAAAAAAAAAAAAAAAGACTGAATCAGTTCCAAAATTTGTTCAGAAATATCATAACTTTTCAACTTTTGAAGAATAAGCCAAACTCTTTCAAATGCCATCGAGATGTCCAAAGACAGTGCCAGCTTTACCATTCTTATCTAAAGCTTCATAGATTCTTTCAGAAATAATCATTAATACATCAGTAGTTGACCTCGAAAAACGAAACTGTCTGCCTGGAAAAAGATGGGCGGGCTATAGTGATAGCATGGGTGTTCATAGCTGGGATAAGAATGATCTTGAACAGAAAATCAGTTCTATCTCTCTGAACCAAGAAATGGGACTTAAGATAAACCTTTCCAAAATAAATGATCTTGAATTGGAATGAAAGCAGCGGAGACCCGTATTTTGAATCCAGTTACTGGATTCGACATATTGAAAAAATTAGTATGTCGAATTAGTAAATACTGAACAAATGTGATACGTAATAAAATAATTACAGGAGAAAATGAAATTGAACATAGAATAAGCTGCGTCAGAAGTAGTTTCACTTCACAGCTCAAATTGCGAATGATCATTTTTTAGGAAATTTCATACACTGGTTTGGTTAGTAGTGTATACAGGGTTCTGTAGCCTTGCTTGGCAACCAGCCTAGGAGTAGAACAACTCTGAATTCAACCTCTTGAAACAGGCAAAGGGAAAATGCTTCGTTATCTTCCTCAAGAAGACATGGTAATTCATAGACAATAAATTGAAACTGTAGGGAGCCATGAACGCGTAAGTCCTTAAAAATATTGACAGCAGACATGGTCGGAAATTTTGGGGATCTCTTTAGAGAAAAACAACTGTAGGTAAAAATATTCTATTGATAAAAAATGAAAAGAAATAAAGGAAAGAAAAGAAAGAAAAGGAATGAAAAGAAAAGGGAAAAAAGTAAAGAAATGAAAAAAAAAAAACGAACGGAAAAAGAAAGAAAAGGAGAGCGAAGGAAAAAGAAAAGAAAGAAAAAGAAAGCGAAGTAAAAAAGGAGAAAAAAAAAGGAAAGAAAGGAAAAAAGAAAAGGGTAGAAAAACGGACAAAAGGAAAGTAAAAGAAAGAAAAGAAAGAAAAAAGGAAATGAAAGAAAGAAAAAGGAAAGAAAAACGTGAAAAGAAAAGGAATGAAAAAATGAAAAAGAAAGAAAAATGAAAGAAAAAACGAGAAAAAAGGAAAGGAAAGAAAAAGGAGATGAAAGAAAAGGAAAAGGAAAGAAAAAAGAAAGAAAAACGTAAAGGTAAGAAAAAAAAAGGAAAGGAAAACGTGAAAAGAAAAGGAATGAAAAATGAAAAAGAAAGAAAAATGAAAGAAAAAGCGAGAAAAAGGAGAGAAAGAAAGAAGAAAAAACTAGAAAAGAAAGAAAACGGAAAGGAATGAAAAAGGAAAAAAGAAAGAAAAATGAAAGAAAAAAAAGAGAAAAAAGGAAGCAAAAACCATAAAAGAAAGAAAACATGGAGGAAAGAAAAAGAGAAAAAGAAAGAAAAAGGTAAAAAACGAGGAAAGAAAAAAGAAGGAAAACGTAGAAGAAAAAGGTAATACAAGAAAAAGGTAAGGAAAGAAAAAGGAAAGAAAGAAAAAGGGAAAGAAATTAGAAAAGTGAAAAGAAAAAGAAAGTAAGAAAATGGTAAGTAAAGACAAGTAAAGAAAAAAAGTAAAAGAAAGAAGGAAACTAAGTGAAAAGTAAAGAAAACGAAAAGAAAAAGAAAGAAAATGAAAGAAAATAAAAATGAAAGAAAAAGCATAGAAAAGCAATGGAAAGGAAAAGAAATGATAAAAATCTAAGAAAAGAAAAAAGTAAAAAGAAAAGAAAAAGAAAAGAAAAATAAAGGCAAGGAAAAGAAAGAAATGAAAAAATCTAACAAAAAATAAAGGAAAAAGAAAAGAAAAGGAAAAGATACGAAGGAAAGAAATGGGAAAAAAGGTAAGAAAAAAAGGAAAAAAGAAACGAAAAAGAAAAGGAAAGAAATGGAAAAATGGTAAGAAAAGAAGAAGAAAAAAAGAAAAAGAAGAAAAGAAAAGGATAGAAAAGGAAAGAAGATTCGAAATCGAAAAATAATTCGGCATATTTTTGATTCCTCAGATTACCGTCTGCTTTTGACTCAGCCTGTCTAGCCGTCTTTCATTCAAGAATGAATTTTGTTTACGTCTGATTCGCTTACTTCTTTTTTGTTTTGTTTTGTTGTTGTTATTGTTGTGTGGGTGTATGTCTGTGAGGGTGGAACTGGCGAGAAGCGAATAAAAAGAAAAACCCTAACAAAATATTCTTCTTTCCTCTTAACAAAATCCCCCCCCAAAAAAAACACAAAACATTTCAGTGTTTTAGAATTTACAAGAATTTCTTTTAATTTTTATTTCGTAAATATACATTTTCTTTTCTTTTTCCTCTTCGACAATTCTTGCCCTGTACGCATCCACCACCATTTAAACCTTTCTTTTATGAGTTCCTGTTTTTTTGTTTTGCTTTAACCATATAGAGAATCCTTCTTCTTCTTCTTCTTCTTCTTCTTCTTCTTCTTCTACAGTCAGTACATAGATCGGCAACAGCTTAGAAATAACAGATGAATTAATAGCTAGTGAAACGGAATTGTAAAAAGGAGAGCTGAGTTCCAGTTCGTTCGGTATATACACATAGATGCAAATACTATTGAGAAAGGTGTAAATGCACCTCTTCTCCCCTTAGCTATGGGTTAATCAGTAGGATACATATCAGTAAATCATTATTATCTGAAAAATGCTTACAATCTCAAATATTTTCTTCTTCTTTTACACACTTTTAAAAAAAATATTTCATCCCAAGCAAGGCAATAAAGCCAATATGACGCAAGGGGGTTACTGAGTGTAAAAGACTATAAAAAAGAAAAAAAAACATTATTAAGTAGAGAGAACAATAAACATTATTTACATTATTCGGACTATTGACCTCATCTTTGTCGCCATATTTATTACAACGTTTCAGCCGTTGTACGCTCCGGCCTTCTTCAGGTGGTTGGAATGTCGAACTGAACCCTTTATTTCGCTCGCTGGGGTAGACTGTTCTAGTTCCACGTGCCATGATTAATGGATGTCAGTTATCAGTTATCTTCTGTTAATTCCCCTCTGAAAGTTCTCCACTGCCTTAACCGGGTATTGAACTCACACTCTTTGGGTTCTCTCACTGATCTTACCAACGCCTTTATACACTGTGCCATGTGTCCTTGAGAATAATAAAATAACAGGATTTAAAAGGACAGAAGATAACAATTGATATTGCATATTAATGTTTGTAAAATGAATGTTGACTGCAAAGCAAGAAGCCGGAAGAGAGTCCCACAAACGGTACGTGCACGAGAAGAAACGGTTAACATAGAACTTACATGTAACCTTTTCAACTTAAAATGAGACCTTAGCGCCAATCTAGTACTGCGTTTAATTTCGTAAAGTCGAGGTATGAAAGAACAAAGATCATCAAAAGAATTATCACGAAAATGTTTATGGAAAAGGGACACAGAAGCGACGTTGCGTGGATGAGAAACTGACTGAAGCCGAGATGCCAGGTTAGCACGGATAACATTGCAAATTTTTCTTTGGATTTTGTCAAGAATCTCTAAATACATTGCAGAAGCACCTGACCAGATGTAACGGCAATATTCAATGTATAGATGAATGGCAGATGTATAAATGTATATGATAAATGATATGCTTGTAACAAAATGGATAAGATCTGGAAATTCAATCTTGCTCGTCAATTCAAAATCCAACTTTTCCGCGTACTTATTGAGCCAATCTTACTCTATGGCTCTGAAACTTGGACTCTCTCAGCAAAACAACAGCGTCGTTTAGATGGATGTTATACGCGTCTTTTAAGAAGAGTGCTTAATGTCTCATGGCGAAACCGCCCAACTCTAGAAATGATATATGGAGACTTGCCAAGAGTATCAACTTTAGTCTGTAAGAGACGTGTCCAGTTCGCCGGGCATTGTGCCACAGATGAACTTGTGTCATCATTTGTACTCTGGAGGCACCCATCATCTGTCAATCGATCACGCAAGTTAACCTTTCTAGATAGGATAAAATGAGACACATTGATCCCTAAGGAAGATCTTTTAGGTGCTATGACAGATAGGGAATACTGGAGAGGTGTAGTGAGTTCAATCTCGGCTGAGGCCGCAGGATGATGATGATGATGATGATAAATACTGACTAGAAAAAACTAACTATTATGTCAGAGTAAGACAACTTTCCTACCTGAAAATCTAGCAATTGATTCTATATAATCATTTCACTTCATGTCAGCCCAAGAGGACAAAATGAGTCACTCTCCTGAAGGTTAGCATCAGCCATGATGATACAAGGTGATATGGTTTCTCTCAGATGATCAAAAGAGAGCTTTAAAATTAAGAAGCCATTCCTTGCCCCGGTTAACAACAGATTGTAGGTCATTTTTTTTAATCAGCTGCCAATTTGAACTTATTGAACTAATCTGACTTTATTATAATATTTATAGAAAAGAAACAGAAATGACCTTAAGGCGATAGGAAATTAATTGAACCGAGATGCCAGGTTGGGAGAGATAACATTGCAAATTTTTCTTTGGATTTTGTCAAGAATCTATAAATACGTTGCAGAAGCACCTGACCACATGTGACACCAATATGCAAAGCACGGGCGAATTGTAGACTTGTAAATGTATCAGATAAGTTTCTGGCGGGAAAAACTGTCTAAATCGACATAATGCATCACACTTCAATTCGATATAATCGTTTCATGTCATGTCAGTGGAAAACGTTATCCCGAGTGGGCACAAAGAGTTAATCTCCTGGAGGTTAGCATCAGCCATACTGATGAAGGCAAAAAAGATTCACTAAGACAATTAGAAATTCGTTTGGGAGGCGTTAAAGTTAACATTCCTTGCCCCAGTTAACAACAGATTGTGGGTTATTTTTTTAGATAAGCTGTCAATTTGACAAGATTGAACTGATCAAATTTGCTATTAAGACCGGAGTAAATAGTCGTGACATCAGTGTAGATACAGAGTTGAGAATTGATAACACCAGGAAGGTCGTTGATGAAAATCTAGGACCAATGCAGGTTGAAGAATAGAGCCCTGGGTTGGGTAACCGTCATTAATGCAAAAAGATCTAGAAGAGTGGCCGTTCAAGATAACATTCATTTTGCAATTTAATACGAAAGACTGAATCAGTTCCAAAATTCGTTCAGAAATATCATAACTTTTTAACTTTTGAAGAATATGCCAAATTCTTTTAATGCCATCGCGATGTCCAAAGATACAGCTCGAGTTTCACCATTATCTAAAGCTTCATAGATTCTTTCAGAAATAATCGTTAATGTATCAGTAGTTGACTTCGAGAAACGAAAGCCATATTGCTTATCTGAAAGAAGATCCTGCGAGGTGAGATGCTTAACCAATTCAGTGTTAATTAGAACATCTAGATCTTTGCTGAAAAGATAATGATTGATATTGCATCTTGGAGAGCAAACGACTGCCACGTAATTTCTCCGTACCTTTTCTATAAATATTTTCATGGTAATTGTTTTGATGAACTTCCCTCTATAGAACCTAAACTTTAATTAAGCTAAGTGCTAGATTGGCGGCAAGGTCTCAACATTTTATAGTTGAAATGTGTTATACTGGAACACACCTATTCTATTGTTAATAGACTCTCCTACATATAATAAGTAGGAGTAGTAGCTGTCGCAGTCGCTCAGCGAGTTAGTCAGTCAGTCGATGTCGGACGACCGTTAGTCGGATATTAAAGTATACTAGATTGCTGCGTCATTAACTATTATATCAAGTTCCTAACGTTTTATACGTCGAACCTACTTTATGACCGACTTAGTGAAATACAAGCCTCCACTGTGAAACTACTCTATAACAACTTGACGACGAGGGATTCGAACTCATACGGAGGAAGAAAAGCTTTTCGTTTACTCTACTACAAAATGACAATATATAACGTAAGTTCTATGTAAATAGTTTCTTCTGTCGCACTTCTCGCTTGTGGACCACTCGTCCGGTTTATTGATTGCCTGCCAACTTTGATTTTCAAAAATTTAAATGCAATGTCGATCGTTATTTTCTACATTATTAATTGCTGTTCTTTTATTGCTCTCTCTCCTTTGTAGGCCATTTTCGAGACCAGACCCCTATCGAATCGACCAGACATACCATCAAGAGAGGCGCAAATAGTTGTGTCACCAGCATAGATACTGAATTAAGAGATGATTACATCGGGAACGTCGTTAATAAATGTTGTGTACGATACACCTAATTTACATAAGTGGAGTACCGACCATATAAATATGGGTTGGTACCGGAAGACGAAAAAGAGATAGTAGAAGTAAGAGATGCAATCCAGAGACTCTGCCCGACTGCGATTAAGTCAACCCATTCTACAGGAACAGTCTTCCCAAGAATATACCAAAACTAACTGTAAATATTGTGTACCTTTTCCT